TGTGTGTGTGTGTGTGTGTGTGTGTGTGTGTGTGTGTGTGTGTGTATAACGATAATAAAGAAAGAGAAGCCATCAATCTGAGAGGGCAACAAGGGGGAAACATGGAATATGGGGGGGGGTGGAGGCAAGAGAAAGGACAAAATTATGTAATTATATTTTAATTAAAATTATATTAACAAAAATGTTTTACTAATATTAGATTTCAAATTAACATTCTATTTTTGAATTAATGAAATGATAATAAATATACTTCAAGAGAAATGGACTAAAGGTTACCTGTCTATACACGTGGAGGGAACAATAGGAGCTGTGGCACAGCCTTTGGATGTGAAGGGCGCTGACATAAAATAATATATGAACTGTCATGTTATGGTGCAAAAAAGCAGAGGGGAAAGTGACATTAGCTCATTTTGTTCTGCGTGTCTGACTCAGGCGGCATGCAGGGAAATGCCTGAAGATACAATGGTGCAGAGTTCTCAGACATTGCTTGATACTGCCATTGAAACAGCCTTTTACTCAACATACTGCATCATGGGAAAGATGATTCATATAGTGCAGTTTAACACTCCTCACTCATACAGTAACTTTTTAAATTTAGAGAAAAAAGAATTGGCATTTGAAATGTAGTCTTAGAAATAACAGCTACTTCACTGATTTAAATAGTAGTCCTGATATTACATAAAAGCCAGATGTTATCATCATTTCTAGCTGTGCTGAAGCACCACAACAGGGTGAAATGCTATGGGGGAAATTGAGCGTGTCCATAGGTGTCCCTGACACTCCTGACTGCGCCAGGAGCCCTTTAACACCCACCAAAAACGAACGCTTCTTCTCACCCTTAGGCTAAAGCAACCATCTTTAACAAAGTGTGACTTTTGACCACGTAACAAAAATGGAAAACATTCCTGTGTAAGAGTTATGCTTGTTTTCTCAAGGCCTCACAGATCTGCCTATTATGCTTTCATCAGGTAAAATAAGGGAACATGAAAGGCTGCCATCCCTGCCAAGGAGACATGAGGCACATGAATCATTGGAGGACTAAATGGAGCCCTCCAGTCCTGAAAATAGAAAAAAAAATTGCAAAGAAACCTTTGTAGCTTATCATATTCTTTTACCCTAAAATCATTCACGAGTCAAATATGATAGGAAAACTTTTTACTTTTTTTCCCAGTTTTTTCTTAAGAAGAGGCCTAAACAATTATCCATAAAATAAAATAATGAACTATTACTTCATATTGTTTGGCTGTGTAACAAAGGGACATTGACATATCTCTCAGTCCATGTCTGAGAATTTGAACTCACACCTTATTTTTAAAATAGGAAGTTAGCCTAGCTGACAAATGTAAATACTGAAGGTCATGTGATTCTATTCAGTGGAAGAGGAAGATATTTAAAAATTTTTATTTAATTTCAAATGAGAATATGAAGAAACAAGAGAACAGTCAGGGTGGGCAGTGATGAACATTCTCGAAGAAAAGATAAACTACATTAAGGTTATAAGGCAGAAAACTGCAAAGCAGACCCCAGTGATCAATTAAAAAGTGGTAGTAGTTGTAGCCAGAGAAATGAAGCAAGGTCAGATGTTGTATAGCATTCTAGGTCACAGAAAATGATGATCTGTGCAACCACATAAATACAGAATATATATGATTTGTGGCATATATGTACAGAAGATATATGATTGTTGCCATAAGGAGAATATATTTGAACATGGATCACAAGACTATAAGAGGGTATCTGGTTAAGAGATAAGATGGGCCGGGCGGTGGTGGCGCACGCCTTTAATCTCAGCACTCGAGAGGCAGATCCAGGCAGATCTCTGTGAGTTCGAGGCCAGCCTGGGCTCCCAAATGAGTCCCAGGAAAGGCACAAAGCTACACAGAGAAACCCTGTCTCAAAAAACAAAAAACAAAAAACAAAAAAAAAAAAAGAGAGAGACAAGATGGTGATTCATACAATTTGTGTTGATACACTGTAAAGCTACAGAATAATACAAACATGTGGAATGCTTCATATATAAAGCCAGAGGGCTTGCTGATGAATTACATGGCATCATAAAAAAATAAGTCATCAAAGATTAATAATAGCATCTACATTGCATGAATAGGTGGACGATAATAACGTTTGTTGGGAAAGGGAAGCATGGAGGAAAAATATGTTTAGTAAACTACATTAAAATGTGTGCAGTGTACTGTTCCCACAGTGTATAGTGTCTGTACTTAAGCATATAACAAATATTCTACTAATTAAAAAGCCTAAGTAAATTTATTTCCCCAAAACATCTTTTAAGTTTTTTATTAATACAATATATTTTCAAAATGTTGTCTTCTTACAGTAAGAATATTCCTTTGGACTAACATAAATTGTTCATATTTACATACTTGTTAGTAAAACCTGAAGTCAGAA